TCACATTTACCTAATTAAGACCAAGCAATCAAATAGCTTTTGAACTTATGAAACCTCGACAGTCGACACATTTTTCAATAACAAGCAATCGAAGAGTTTTTTAATTTATGATAACTATAATTCCTAACATCTCCTACTTCTATAAAATCTTATTTCAAGCTTCAATATGGTACTCCATCAATTGCTTCTCCAAACATGACATTTACGTATTTAGTGGAAAAGAGAGAAACCACCAAAGAATTTATCGATTTACATTTCTACATTTTCTTCTTTACCTCTTGACACCCTCATTCAGTTCCTCGGAGCCAAACAAATGATGGCTTGCTTAGGTGAACACAAAGAAAGTGTTGAGACTTTAATCAAGCATACATTAAACAATAGCTTTGGTATGGAGGTTTTGAGTCGACTTAAGTAGAAAACAATGTATTTCGTAAAGACGATGTACTATTTTCATATCGTTGTCTTATTTTATTCGATGAATTAATGTGATTTTTGTTTGAGATTTTGTAGGCATCGATGTTGGATTAATGTGATTTTTTGTTTAAGATTATGTTGGTATCAAAGTTGGATAAATGTGATTTTTTTTTGTTTGAGTTTTGTAGGCCTCGGAATTGTTGAAGGCATATTTAATGATTTTTATATAATTTTTCATTAGCATCTAATTAACAGCTACCACTCAATAGATTTTTAAATTATGATACTTAATAGTTCTTATGACACTAATTGATTAACATTGAGATATATATAGGTTCATAATGGTAAATTTTTATTAGAATGGTTTAAAGAGTTATGTGAGTGTTTGAGAGGTAGATTAGAAACTTCATACAAAAAGATTATCGATGGAGAGCATAAATAATAATAAAGAGGAAGATGATGATGAGAAGGAAATATGTAAGTTTATGGTAAGAAATATTGTTTCGTTTTCTTCTTTCTTATTATCTAAATTTATACTATATAATTATGATTTTGGTTGAAATGAAAAATATTATAAATGATGATGCTCTAATAATTGCCTCTAGATTCACATGAGCAGCAAGACTACTTCACAACAATACAAAACAAGAATGGATATAACTAGCGTAGTTCATGCTTCTTGATTTTAAAATTTTGGTGGTTCAATTTATTTTAAAGTTTTGCATTTTTTTTATAAAATTTATAATCATGTTCAGCAGGATCCCAAAATGAAGCAATGCAACTAATCATTTAAAGTGTAAAACCAACGGTCCATGTCGTATAAATTATAATGGAGTTTGCAAGATGGTGCAGGTTAATGTTCATTCCACTTCAAATTATATAACTAGAATTTTAAAAAGTTTCATTGGGTGTAATTTCTAGGATAATGTAATGGAGTGCATGTCGACATTTAATTTAATTTTATAGGTCTTCATGTTGTGTTGAATATTCACAATCGCTTACATGGAAACGGTCCTATAGATGACAACTATGTAGTTGATAAAACTTATTAAAATTTATTTTATTATATTCCATAAAAATGGTAAATTTGAGTTGTTGATATATCGACGAGTTGAAGAGACAACTCGGTGAGTTGGGTCAACTCAGGACGTTGACTATGACCTTTGAGCTTGGTTTTTGACTAAGTTTGACCTTTATAGGTTTTGGGGCATGTTTTATTGCAATTAAGGGAATTGTTTATGTTGTAGGGTTGAGTGGAGCGGATATTGGAGCCTCAACCTAGTCAGTTTGGGTGATTTAGGGATATCAGGTATGGCCTTGGAGAAGGTACAGGTAGGTGTGGAATGTAGTATTGGGTCCGTACTACTGAAAGCACATGACGTGTACCTAAAGCAATGACAGACCTGGTAGCTCTTGGGAGGATGGTTTGGAGGAATCCCTTTCAATTTCCTTATCTTGATTATTTGTGATATTTTCAGTTAAGGATGGTGATGATCACACGTGGTTCAGGATCAAGATCTGGATCGGGTTCGGGCTCTGGTGCAGATCCCATGGATGATAGGTTGCACGATCTTAGTGCAACCAAGGTTACTCGTGACATCTTTGACGCTACCCCGGTGTTTTTCGGTACTATCAAGGAGGGCATCATGGAGATCATGGAGAAGAAGCTCAGGTCCTTCCGAGCCGAGATTGTTTCAGGACAGATTGGGGCCCGAGCTCCCTCGTTTAGGGAGTTCAAGGCGTGTGGAGCGCCTGAGTTCTTCGGGTCTGGGATGCCATCACTAGCCGATGTTGGGTGGTAGACATGGAGAATGCCCAACTCATGAGTTTTTGCCTTGATGTGGCCAAGGTGGGGTTCGCATCTTGTATGATGAGGGACCAGGCACGAGACTGGTAGGAGGAGGTGACACATGAGGTGGGATCAGTCAGGGTAGCTGAGATGACATGGGAGGGGTTTGTGAGGAGGCTTGATCGGGAGTTTTCACCACCTATTGAGGTGCAGCGTTTGGTTAGAAAGTTCCAGGATTTACATTAGACTGTCGAGACTATGGTGGAGCTCACTACCAAGTTTCGGGAAAGGATACTTTTGGTTCCACATTACGTTGTGGATGAGGAGATGAAGAAGACTATGTATCATTCCATGCTGAGAGATGATATTCGTGAGTTTGTGAGTTTTTCGGTATGCAAGACCCTGAAAGAGATGGTGGAGAAGGTCCAGGAACGAGAGATTGAGTTGGAGCTCCGCACGAAGCAGAAGTCGGAGAAGATTCAGGTAGTAGTAGGTCAGGCCAAGAAGCCTAAGACCTCTGATCCTCCAAACGGGGGCCAGCAAGGTCGTGGCCGTTGTGCCAAGTGTAGTGAGCCACACAGTGGAGCCTACCGACCGGCGCGATCTGTTTGTTATGCTTGTGGCTAGTCGGGATTTCCCTAAGAAAGGATTGATTTGTTTCTACTGCAACCAGACCGGTCATAAGAAGGTCGACTGTACGGGGTTGGTTAGGGGGAGGAGGAGCTGTGGCGGCGCCTGCGCCTGCCGCGATGAGGATTATAGATGGCCGCCTGATCAAGGCAGAGGCTCCTGCAGTGAAGGGCCATGCATTTCAACTGACTAATGCGGAGGCTCTATCAGCGCCAGACTTCGTGACTAGCATGTGATTTCTTCTGGCTTGTTTATTTTATTGTTATGCTTATGTTATTTTGATTTTGTATAGGGGCCTTTCTGGTCAATGGTTTATCGGCTCATGTTCTCTTTGATTCGGGGGCTACCTGTCGTTCGTATCCCTTGCGCTCAGCAAGAAGTTTCAGGATGCTCCGGTGACCTTGGAGTCCCCACTTGAGGTGGAGATTACGGATGACCGCACTAGGAGTGCTACGGGGGTTTATCCGAGGAGCGTTCTGAATGTGTGCGAAGAGAGTTTTCCTATCGATTTGATTCTGATTCCTTTGCGGGGATTGAAGGTGATCACTGGGATGGATTGGTTGGGGCCAAATGGGGACATGATAGACTACGAGCGTCAACTAGTGAGAGTTTGAACTGCAAGTGGGGGAGAACTTATTATTCATGGAGTCTCGCATGGTCCAGATCTCTGTTCGGATGGGAGGGCTAGAAGGCTTCTACAGCAGGGTTATTATGGGTTCTTAGCTTATGTTTCCGACACGAGGGTTGAGGCCACACCAAATTTGAGCAACGTTCCATTTGTGAGAGAGATTCCCGATGTATTTCCCTAGTAGTTTCCAAGGGTACCTATGGATAGGAAAGTGGAGCTCCATATTGATTTAGTGCCAGGTATGGCTCCGATATCCAAAGCACCATACCGTTTAGCTCCGCCTGAGATGCAGGAGTTGTCTGCACAGCTTCAGGAGCTGCTAGACCGAGGATTTATTCGCTCGAGCGGTTCCCCGTGGGGAGCAACAATCTGTTCGTGAAGACGAAGGATGGGTCATACAGATTGTGTATTGATTGTCGGGAGCTGAACAACCTAACGGTGAAGAATCATTATCCGCCTCCGAGGATTGATGATTTGTTTGATCAGCTCCAGGGTGCATCTTGGTTTTCCAAGATTGATCTTCGGTTGGGATATCACCAGATGAGAATATACCGAAGATGGCCTTCAGGACTCGTTATGGTCATTATGAGTTTGTGGCGATGCCATTCGGGCTCACCAATGCTCCATCGGCATTCATGGATCTCATGAATTGGGTTTGTAGACCGATGCTGGATCGGTCTGTGATAGTCTTCATTAATGGTATTTTGGTCTATTCTAAGACCAAGGAGTAGCACGAGCAGCATTTGAGATAGGTATTGGAGACCTTGAGAATGGAGAAGATATATGATAAATTCTCCAAATGTGATTTTTGGTTGCGTAAGGTGCAGTTTTTGGGGCACATCATTAATCACACTACTAGAAAAACAACCTTTTACGACGCGCAAACAATGACACGCAGTGATTTACGATACGTAAAACCGTTCGCCCTAAAATTAATGTCATCTCTTCTAAAATTTGAAGGATAGAGGTCACGCATTTGTACGTGCCTTGAAATTAGTGTCAGAAAAGAAAAAAAATAAAAACACTGAGGGTGCTTATCTTAAATGGGTGTCCTCTTCAAATGTCGCTTTATATTTTTTTCTTAAACGCGCGTTTTTAAAGGGGGAAACGAAATTGTGTGGAATTCTAAAATTTTGAAGAACCCGCTTCTACCCTCTCTCCTCAGTATCTCCCTTCGTTCGCTCCTTCCTTCTCCCTCTAAACCCTAAGCCATCGCTAACGCCACCGCCATTGAACCTTAAAAGCTCAATCCGCACTTCACGCTTTTGTGATTCTCTCTTCTTCGGCTCTCTAATCTCCAATTTTAGTTTGAAAACATCTATCGACCTCGGATTAGAAACCCAAAAAATTAGAAAAGTCCACATTTCCGAGAGTGTTGGCGCCGGTGCTCTGGTGTACCTTGTCACCGTTTTATAATTCGTTCGGACCTTTAATTTTAGCAAACCCACCAGAACCCTAGGTCTTGGATTTTATGCTTTCACATCCTTCCTTCCCTAGTCGTATGATATTCTGAATCCTTATTTCTTTTCTCTATCACGAATGCCCCTCTATCGCATCGCTCTGCTCACCGTCATCGTCTTAGGCTCTTACGCCTCCATCGTGGTCTCTGTACTCATCGTATCATCATACATGCCGCCTCTTCTCTTCGTTATGCTCTTTTACCCTACGCAGGTAATATCATCAGTTTGTATGGTAATTGTTGTTCTTATTCCCTTCTTTTGTTGGTTGTCTGCTTCCATCTTGATATCAATTTTCTAACCACCCCACTATTCCAGATGGCCTCTGTTATGTTATCGAGTTGCCAATTTCCATTAGCTGGTAAGTTTTGGCACAATAGTTTGCACTCATCTTGCCTGTTCTCCTGTTCTCCTCTTTGTGTCTCTCGATCTCAGTAGATGTTCTTCATATTCTGTTGAATGATGTTTGTTTTGAATTTTGATTTTTACTATGAAATTGAGGGTTAGTTTAATGCAGTTCATAATTGTTGATATCGAGCCTACGACCTGCTTATTTTTACTTTTTCCTGGTCCCATTTATCTTACTAAACTATTTGCTTTTTATGTCTTTGATGAATCTTGATTTGTGGGAAGAGTTGTTTTGTTTTTTTTATGAACACCACCTGTTTGATAAATTTCCCCAATGAACAAGAAAAAGTACAATTGACTAATTCATCAATGGCATAAATAATCACTCTCTGATACAACATAAAAACTAAGGTAGAGATGCAAACGGGTTTAGGCATAGGGAGTTGAAAATGGAAATGGATGTTTATGTTTCTATGATGACTATCTTTTCATGTTTGAACTTGTTGGCATATGGGTTTATACATGTGCTAATGTTCGTGTTTCAAGTGTTGGAAGAAGGTCTGCATGAGAGGCTTTATAGGTTTGGTTAGGTGTGGACACACCTGGATCATTGAAGGTTACTGACCGTGAGTGTCCATTTAGTATCTTATTTAGTTCCATAACATGTTCATTTTATTTATAATGAAGCTCCATTTTTGAAATGATTAATGAAACAGTTAAATGTTGTAATTGTTTGACCTTGATTATAGTGGATGATATTGATAAAGACAAACATGATGCAGAGGAAGAAGACAGGGTGGATAGTGATGATGAGAGACAAAAGAAGAAGAAAAGAAAGAAAAGGTAAAATCAATTTGACAAGCTTACCTTTTGTAGTGAAAAATCAATTTGACAAGCTTACCTTTTGTTGTGAATGCACGGTTGCCTTTCTATTTTATGCTGCATGAATCTTAAGGGAATCGGAGAAGAACTATGTTCTTGATGAAGATGACTATGAGCTTCTTCATGATAACAACATCACTGGATTTCGACATCCAAAAGTCGTGAGTCTCTTGCTCTACATTCAGATGGTTCTTCAGCAATTATCTTTCATTTTCTTCTTCAATATTTGTCTTTCATTTTTTTAATAAAAAAATGAACCTCTCCTCCTTATATTATATTTATATTTATGTTAGTCCTGGGAAGGATGAAATTCAGCATATTGCCCCTGAAGATGAGAAAAGAACGTCCCACAGATAAAGGCATATCTTTGCTGGTCAAGACACAATATATATCTCCTCTTAGCACCGACGCCACAAGAGTGGTTGGTTTTAAGTATTTTTTTCATCACTACCCATGTCAGATGACGTGGCAGGTACGGCCGTTGACTTTTTGACTTTTGGTTGAGAAACTCCTTAAGGAGTCTATTCTCTTCTTCAAACGAACACAACTGCTCAATCAAGAAGGTGATCTTTGATGCAATAGGAAAAGGGTTTGACTTTCTTCTTGTAAGGTCAACTTCGTTCTTCATCTTTTCCACGTCAGCAGGGCCAGGTAAGCGTTTTTGGAGAAGTGAGTGGAGTCTTTGTGCTTCTATTTCCAGTTGTGCGATCTTGTTGACACTTCCTAGGTATTGCTTATGTGCCATGTCAGATGTTCTTCGGTTAAATTCTCTCTCTTCGTTTCTGATCTCAAGTTCTTTTTCTAAAACTCGGATTTCATAACTTAAAGAAGCATTCTCTCTGAGTTGACTCCAGTTAACCAACAACATTAAATGATAATCTAATTGAGCTTTAACTGAGTGTAGTTCGTTAATTAGCTTTTCCTTTGATGAAAGAGCGTAAATTAATTGACTGTTTTCCAATTCTAGTTTGGAAACTTTCTTATTTAATTCAGCTTTCTTTTTTTCATGTTCATTTGATGTTTTCATTAAATCATCATGTATCTTTTTTTCCTCTTCTTCACGAGCAAAACGAAGTTGAAGCATACACTCATTTAATGCTTCTCTTTGTTGTGTAGCTTTGTCTAGTTCTTGTTTTAGTGCTAAAACTTATGATTCAGCTTTATCCCATCCTGTATATAGTTTAATCAATTATAATTAAACTCATGGAAATAAGATTATAAATAAAGTACAATTTACAAATTACAAGTCACCACCTTGAACAGCTGAAAGATTTTCATCTTTAAGCTTCAAATTTGTCTGTGGTTCCACTGTATTAGTTAAATTTGTTTGCAATTAAACATGGTTAGAATATTAAAATACTTTTGAAGGGCATGGGGTAAAAAGAGAATGAATGAGTAAGAAAAGTATGCTTTTATGTTACCTCATCTTCACTCCCTACGTTTACTCTGTCAACTGGAATCATTGTTTTCTCTGTAGATGTTTTCTTCCAAGGCCATGACTTGTGGTCCATCCCTTTGGTCAAAAGTTCAGAAGTAACTTAAATCACATACAATCTGCAACAATCAAGAAAAAGATGCATAAATGAACTTATAATCAAGATTCTAGCACCGATGCCACGCCACTAGACTGGTCATCAAAAAATGAACCTCTCCTCCTTATAACATTTATATTTTCTCTCAAAATTGTTTTCAAATTTTTTTTCTTTGCAGTCTTTTACTGAACAACAAGCAAAAGAACTACAGGAAAGATGTGGTAACACCTTAGTAATCATTATCGTGTATAATCATGATTAACATTTTGTCCATAACTTTGATTAAAATTTGAGATTAGTTTTATCAGATCGATATCAAATCCTTTTCCTTGACCTGAAAATCAAATAATATAAAAAAATAGAAAAATATGGTGTGTGTTGTTTGATTATTGAATAATTAGTTACCATCACAGTCAATACAGTTGAGCAAAATTTCACCAACTCTCAATTGTTCAACAGCTTTGGCAAGCTCATATGCTCCAATTGGACGACCCTCTCTTCCACCATTCACCTGTTAATTTACATTTACATAATAAACAAAAAATATTTTTTTTTGGTAAAATTAATGAGTTAATGCAGCAACAGACACCTACAGAAAGAATATTCACATTTACATACTATGCATTAATTGTTGTTCAACTTTTGTCTTTGTAGAAATCTGAGGAAAGCACTGGTCCTCCGCCAATAGATGAAATAAGTATAGATGAGGAGAGTACTTGGATTCCTCATCAACTTCAAATGGGTGTGGTATTGTTTGGCAGATGAAGCGATAGAACAACTGAAGAAGGGCATGACCTAGTAATAGTTAAGGATGACATCATGCATTTTTTAGAATTTATGCATGTCCAGATGCATGAAAAATATGATGAGGAAGTCGACTGTGGAATTGATGAGCATGTATTCATAGTAAATTTTACAAACAAGGAGCTTCACATAGCTAACAATGTTGAGAACTTAAAAAAATCAACTCCATGGCATTGATTTTCTAATACTCATGTTGGTTTTGGTTGCAGTTGTTAGGGTTCACAAAGCTGTAATGCGGAAAGGACAATCTTAGGATTCAGGGTAGAAAATCAAGATTCTAAAAGGAGCATGTGCTGGATTCCACAAAACTAATATCTATGCTACATTGGAATACATCGTTCTTGAAGGATTTCAAGGGGATGCAGGTGAAACATGGATAATTTGCAGGTGGACTATCATATTGTTAATATCATCTTTATTTTATTCTATCTTTTTAGTATCTGACAGTTTCTTGGTTCAAATTTACAATTATAACCCTCTTGTTTGGAAATTGAAAGGCAGATTGAGGTGTCAGAAGAAGATGGCTGTCTCCTTGAATCTGCTAATGGAAATCCCATTTTTGTTTCAAGGAAATCTGAATTTGTACCTATAAATGGCATTGATTCTGGAAAGGTTAGGATTTTTTTATAACCCTAGGGCTTGTTTCTTTATTTTTAACTGTTAACCTAGTTGTCCTTTTTTTTTTTTTCTCCCGACTCCTCCCACGTTAAAATTGATGTTTGACTTTGAGATGCCCAATTCTATCATGTGGTGCTGCTGTTGGTGTGGACACTTAGTTTAATATCTTTTTTTACATTTTATATTTCTTATTTGTTACAGATTAAAATTACTCCTAAACAAACTCAAACTGAACAAATAGATGATGGAATAGCAAAAGATGTAGAGTCTAAGAGGACTAAAGAAGGTAATTCATGTATATATATCATATGTGTGTATCTGACGTATTAGCATTTGACTAATCCGATGGAAAGAATTTAAAATAAATGTAGCTAAAAACGGTTGCATTACATACTACTTCTTAAAATATAGTTTTTATATGAAATATTATGTTGAGTTTCATATGTTTTCACGTGAACCATGTGATATTTTAGATGGACCAGTGTTCAAGGGGGTAGTCAACTACAAGTATAAACATCTGCAGTTGGCAACAAATAACTTTAGTGAAGAGAATAGTATTGGGCTCTGCAATGGCAGATGTTGTCATTGATGCAATGATTGCAGAAGCACCAAGGCGTGAAAAGTATGTTCTTTCTACTTCTTTTTACTCACTCCATTTTCAAGGTACACTTTGACTTTTAGAAGTCAAAGTAACGTATAATATACTCCAGAATTGCCATAAAAACATCATGTTTCAAAGAAGAAGATGGTAGATATGAAAATATATAATGTGCACAGGTGGCGATCCTTCAGGTTACTACTCGTAACACATCATCCAGGTGGTTTGTCCCCTATCTTTTTTCCCCTTATTTATAATATTCTCAGTTTTCTATCTGATTTCTGATATTTATATATTTATAAAATTTCCAGTGATATGCTTTCTAGGAATATGTAGGCAAACTTGTCTTCATGGTTGCCAAGGAGAGAGGTGGCTCCTCAGGTAAGCAGTCAAATTTGAGTGTTGTAGCAATGCTGCATTTTTAATCTCCTAATTTTATTTATTTATTATTTTTAAAATTATCCAGAAGAAAATAGTAGGTTTCCTGCACGTGGAAGGACACTAGGTGCAACCCAAACAGAAAGAGTCTCCAGCAATGCTTCTCCTAACTCAACCCTACAAACAAGACTCTTGGAAAGTGGCAATAGACCTGTTTATCCTTCAACTCAGGAAGCAACTACAAGAAATGATAGAAGGTATTATTAGTTATTACAATGTGTGATGTAAAAAATTGATATTGCTATTTATTTAATGTGTAAAGAATTGTAAGTACGTTGCTATTATGAGTAAAGAAATGGAAGGAAGTTGGTATTATGGGTAAATAAAAAAAGTAAGGCACATTTGGTTGGTATTTTGAAAGTTAGTTTGTATTTAAGGTAGGGAGCGATAAATACAGATGCCACAGCAGTAGTACGTGTTGTATCGGATGAAGAGATCCAAAAGCTTGTGGCAATGGGTTTTGATAAGGCAAAAGTAAAAACAATTACCCTCCTTTTTGTTGTGTAAACAACACAGAAGGTTCTGGATATAAACATAACTATCTCGACACTTAAAAGTTTTTAGAGAGTTGTACAAATGTTTCAATCATATCTTGCTATATTTTTTTACAGGTTATATTTTATGAACATGAAATTATTGTCGGTGCTTGTGAGTCCCATGAGCAATACAGGAAGCTCATGATATATTTGGTGATGTGGATGAGCTATTGAGGCAACGCAAGTTTTTTGTAGATATACTAATGATGGAAGCAGCTAATAAAGGAAATGGAAGAAGCCTCATGAAATAGATTTTTTGTATGAAACACAGTAGATTAGATGAATGAAAATTAATATATTGTAAGAAATAGAATTGTATGACATTAAATTTTATGCAATGGATTGTATTTTTGAATATGGTATTTTATTTCTATTATGAGACATTAAATGCAAATTTAATTTGAAAATTAGTAAATCTATAAATAATATTTTTTTTAAACATTTAAAATTATGATACGCAAAAATGTGTGTCATCTACATTTATGACATGGCCTTTCTTCACAGGGGCTTTAATGATACGCAATGCGAGTCGTAAATGCGCGTCTTAAGGTTACAACACGCGAATGCGTGTCGTTTTCCTTTATGACAGGGCCTTCCTTGATACGCACTGCGTGTCGTAAACGCGCGTCGTAATTGCGCATCATAAATGAGCGTCGTAAATGCGCGTCGTCTATAGACGACGCGCAAAAGCGTGTCGTCTCTCTTTATGACAGGGCCTTCCTTGACGCACATTTGCGCGTCGTCTGAGCCTTTTACAACGCGCAATGAGCGTCGTAAAAGGCTGTTTTTCTAGTAGTGTCAAGAGGGTATTTTGGTCGATCAAGCCAAAATCGAGGCAATAATGCGTTGGGAGGTTCCAAACAACGCATCCGAGATCCGGAGTTTCTTGGGTCTAGCAGGGTACTATCGGAGATTTATCAGGATTTCTCCAAGATCATCATACCCTTAACCCCATTGACCAAGAAAAATGTGATCTTTCGGTGGGGTCTATATCAGCAGTCGGCATTCGAGACCTTGAGGCGTAGATTATGTGAGGCCCCAATTTTAGCACTACCCGATGGATTGGATGACTTTGTAGTGTATTGTGATGCTTCTATTTTGGGATTAGGAGCAGTTCTAATGCAGAGGGGGCATGTTATTACTTATGCTTCGAGGCAATTGAAGTCTCATGAGGAAAATTACCCCACTCATGACCTAGAATTAGGGGCAGTGGTGTTTGCCCTCAAGATTTGGAGACATTACTTGTATGAGGTCCAGTACACCATTTTCACTGATCATAAGAGTCTGAAGGATTTGATGGATCAACAGAATTTGAACATGCTACAGAGAAGATGGCTCAATGTAGTAAAAGATTATGATTGTGAGATTTTGTGCCATCCCATGAAGGCCACTATGATGGCCGATGCATTGAGCTGTAAGGTGGAGAGTGCTCCAATCCGAGATGTTTGCCAGAGGATGAAGGTAATTTCACCTCTTTTAGATATGATCAAGGAGGCTCAGGTGGAGGGACTAAAGAAGGAGAACTGGAAGGTGGAGAGGATTTAGGGACAAATTCGACTTTTTGTTCAAGACAACCAGGGTCTATTGACCTAGTTTGGTAGAGTTTGAGTACCGGCTTCTAGGGGTGTAAGGCAAAAGATCTTGGAGGAGGCACATAAATCCAAGTTTTCTATACATCCGGGGACCATGAAGATGTATCAAGACTTGAGATTGAGTTATTGGTGGCCATGCATGAAGTGGGATATTGCATGGTTTGTTGAGCGGTGTTTGACCTGTAGGAAGGTCAAAGCCGAGCATCAGAGGCCCCACGTCAAGATGCAGTCGCTACCTATTCCCATGTGGAAATAGGAAGAAATTTCTCTAGATTTTATCACGAAGTTACCTAGGACGGCTCGGGGTGTGGACTCCATCTGGGTTATTGTAGACAGATTGACCAAGAGTGCTCATTTTATTCTGATCTTCGAGAGTATTTTCGTTGAGAAGTTAGTAGATATTTATGTGCGGGAAGTGGTGGTTAGGCACAGGGTGCTAGTGTCTGTAGTTTTGGACCGCGATGTTCGTTTCACCACCAGGTTTTGGAGGAAGTTTCATGAGGATTTGGGAACTCAGTTGCATTTTAGCACTGCTAATCACCCCCAGACTGATGGTCAGATTGAGCGGACGATCCAGACGCTTGAGGATAAGCTTCGGGCATGTGTATTGGATTTCGGAGGGAGTTGGGATACTTACCTTCCACTAGCAAAGTTCTCATACAACAATAGTTATCATGCTAATATTGACCGACCCCTGTTTGAGGCGCTTTATGGTCGGAGATGCAGGACTCCAGTTTGCTAGGGGAAGGTCGAACATCGAGTGATGGGGAGTACCAAAGTAGTACTTAATACGATCGAGATGATTCAACGAGTTCGTGATAGGCTTCAAACAACACAGAGCAGGCAAAAGAGATATGCGGATAGGCACAGATTGGACCTTGAATTTCAGGTCGGGGATATGGTACTCATGAATGTGTCACCCTGGAAGGGTGTTATTCGGTTCAGGAGGCAGGGCAAGTAGGGCCCTAGGTTTATTGGCCCTTTTTGGATTATCTCCCGGGTGGGAAAGCTTGTGTATCAGTTGGAATTGCCTTAGGATCTCGGGCAAATCCATAGTACATTTCACGTTTCATAGTTGCTGAAATATGTGGAAAAGGCCATTGCGATTCTGGAAAGAGAAACGAAAGCCCTCCGGAACAGGGAAATGAAGCTAGTAAAAGTGCAATGGTAGCACCGAAGAGGCTCCGAATGGACCTGGGAGCCGGAGGACGAGATGAGGAAGCATTATCCGAACCTTTTTGCATCAGCAAACATCGAGGACGAAGGCTAGTTCAAGTGGGGCAGATTTGTAATGCTTGGTCCAGGTATTATTCATTTCTTATCATTTTTTTAAGGTTTTTGGCTGGAACTCAATGAGTTGGGGAGCTCCAACTCGTTGTGTAGGAATCTTATTGGCCGCAGAGTTTAAGGATCCAACTCGACGAGTTAGGGTACCCCAACTCGAAGAGTTGACGGCGAAATATGAAACCCTAATTTTTGGGTTTTGCACACTATATAAAGGACTTAAACCCTCTTGGATGTCCTCTTTATTAGCCTCCCTTTCCAGAGAAACCCTAGATTCATATTCCATCTTGCATCTTGAGTGTGGTGTGCTTAAAAGAGTGGTTTTTGGGGATTCTTGAAAGGACCCTGAAGGTGAGAACATCTAGCTTGAAGGAGGAGCTTTAGATCTAGAAACTCTTCTTCAAAGGCAACATTTTTGAGGTATAAAGTCATCACCTTGTCATGTATTCATCTAGATCTCATGATTTGAAGTCTAAGCATGATTTTGGGGGGGTTTTGGTTGAGTTGTCAAAAAGATGTCGATTCCAGGGGTTGTGAAGCTAGATCTGACCCCTTCATGACCTCTTGAAGCTTATAGTTGAAAACTTTATCGGTCCCCATGTCCCATACATGCAATATGTCCATTATGAAGTCATAAATGAGCCTTAGAGGGTATTTCTAGCATGCATAGACATAAAGTTGGAAACTTTGTGTGTTTTGCTTACCTTGGGACATCAGATATGTGTTTTGGGAGGTTGATATGGGAGTTATAGGGCTTAATGGTTCAAGACTCTCTTTAAAGAACCTAGGGTCTAATTTTGACGCCCTTCTGGATGGTTCTTAAGGGTTCGGTTGGAAATTTACCCTTTTAGAAATCATTTTGGAAGAGATCTGAGGTTTAGGGCCCTTGGATCTGTTGGAAACAGCTTAATGCATTAAGAGGCAGAATTTCTGGCCAAATCGGCGAGTTCATTGGTGAACTCGACAAGTTGATGGGATATTTTGCAATCTGATCAGACATTAGGGAAACTCGAGGAGTTGAAGAGACAACTCGGCGAGTTAGGTCAACTCATGATGTTAACTTTGACCTTTGACCTTGGTTTTTGACCAAGTTTGACCTTTATGGGTTTTGGGGCATGTTGTATTGCAATTAAGGAAATTGTTTATGTTTTAGGGTTGTGTAGAGCGGATATTTGCCTCAACCTACTCATCTTTCATGCAATTATTAAGGTGAGTCTTCTCACCACACTCATGGGTCGAAGGCACCAAGGTCGGCCCATTATTTGATATGATATGTTTGTATTGTATGGGAAATGGTATGTTATCTGATTTACTTGTGGGCTTATGCGAAGACCATGGGGGAGCCCATGGCACTTCTCAAGACCATGGAGGGAGCCCATGGCATGAGGATATAAAACGATGGGAGTAGCCCACGACATTCCATTGAAGACCATGGAGGGAGTCCATGGCAAATTGTATGTATATGTATGAGCATGACATTATGTGATTATCTGATTTATGTGATTGAGAAACTCACTAAGCTTGTGCTTACAATTTATTTATATGTTCCAGGTACTTCTATTGATAAGGGAAAGGGCCTGACTTGATGACGAGGCATGCATTCTCTGCCATTTTCACATTTAGCTCTTTGTAATATGAATTTTCAAATAACATGGATATGTATTGGGATTTTTATATTTACTATGGCTGAGGTTATGAAAATAAAAGTTTAAAAATTGTATGAAAATCAGGTTGTTGCATAAAACAAGCGCAACTGAGAAGGTTTAGAAAGCACCCTGCGCTCCAAGAAAAGCGTGTCGCTGTTTGGCTTTATCCAATAGGTACAACTTTTGTGTTTTTATAGAAAACAAATATGTAGAATGCAAAAAACAATTAACGATTAATAGGGTACATGAATCCTATAAAAGATCTATGGCATACCCCTTGATAGCAACATACAATGAACAACTAAACTAGCATAACCATAGTATAATTCAAAATTTTCAAGGTTTAAGGTTACATACCTTTTGATTTGTTATTGCAAACAAATCACACCAATCCTTGTAGTTAAAAAGCTTGGAAAGACTACCACCAAAGAGATGATGCCTCTAATGGTTTGTACCCAAACCCTAGCAACAAGTACACAAAAGGAGAAAGGAGAGAGTAGTGGATTTCCGGTTATGATAGGGTTAGAAGAAGTAGTCGAAAAGATGAAACCTTTAGGAGATATTTATAGGTGAATGAGGTATCCTTGGATAACCCTAATTTGAATATAATAATAATATTTCAAATTAGGCAGGCATCCAATCCATTTACTTATCCTCCAAGGCTACCTAAA